GATCAGGGCGGCGGGGCGGCGGGTTGCTGACCTGCCACTCCCGCTGGAGCTGCAGTTGCAGCAGCTGCAGCAGCAGCAGCAACGCGCCGTGGCAAGCGCGGCGGCCGCCGCGGCGAGCATGCAGATGCAGCTGCAGCAACACCACCGTGCAGCCGAGCAGCAGCAGCAGCAGAACAGTCAGCAGCAAGGGGATGCCTATGCAGTTGCCATGGCTGCGGCAACCGCGCACCAAGCCGCCTTGCACCAGGCTGCTGCACTGGCTTCACCGCATGGGAGCATCGCCCATGTGCCTCCCAGCCCCTTGGCTGCAACCATGGGGCTCGCTCCCGAGCAGCACCAGCAGTTGGCCGCGGCGGCCGCCGCACTCGGCATCGCGAACCCCCTCTTGCCCTCGCAGCAGCAGCAGCAGCAGCAGCAGCAGCCGCTGCTGAGCCCGCAGCAGCCGGCAAGCATCTCGCCCCAGCACGTGCTCGCCCTTCACCAGCTGGCGCATGCGGAACAGCAGCAGCAGCAGCAGCAGCAGCAGCAGCAGCAGCAGGGCGCGCGGCAGGAGTTTGGCCTCCCTTCCCTCGCGCTCGCGGCCGCCCAGCAGCACCAGCAAGGCCAGCAGCCGAGCCGCCTGCCATCGCCACTGCCGCCCGGCGGCCCGAGGGCTCCCTCTGCCGCCGCGCTGCAGCAGGCGGGGCGATATGTGAGCTCTGACGGGTCGACCGGCTCGCTGGGCGGCCAGGGCAGCGGCTGGGGGGGCGAGTACCCCTCGTTCGCCGCCGAGCGCGCCGCGCCGCCGCGCGCTCCGCGGTCGCCATCGCCCTACGGCGCTTCGCCACGCTCGTGCGCGGCAGCCGCGGCGGCGCCCATGGGCCCGAGCGGCCGGTCGCTGTCTCAGCAGTCTTTGGGGGAGGCGCCGCACACGCCAGGGCACGCCGCGGCGGCGGCTGCCGCCGCCGCAGCCACGGCGGCCGCGCAGTTTGCCGTGTTCTGCAGCCTGCAGCAGCAGGGGACGGAAGCCGCAGCGGGGATGGCGGGTGGTGCGCTGGGCTGCGGCGCCGCGGATGCCGTCGGCCACCGCTTGGTGGACAGCCCGCGCCGCGATACGGCGCGGAAGAGGCTGCAAAAACAGGGGCAGCACGAGGCCGCCGCCGCCGCCGCCGCAGCCCCAGCCGCCGCCAGGCCTGGCCTGAGGGTCGTCCTGCCGGATGACTGCGCGGCGTTGGACGCCTTTGCGTTGGCGCCGCTGTCTGCGCCGCTCCCGCGCGGCTATGGTGGGGGGCAGGTCGGGCTCTACGGGCAGGCGCACGCCGGCCCGTCGAGCGCGCACGCGTACGGCACCGCCCCGACAGGCGGCGGCGGCGGTGTGCCTGGCAGCGGCCTGTTTGGCGGCGGCACGGCCGGGGCGGTGGTGGCTGCAGCCACAGCGGCTGGCGGCTTCAAGGTGCTGCACGGCATGTCACCCGGTGACCTCGCTTTTGATGAGCCGCGCTGCGGCCCCGGGGAGCCGCTCATTTCAACCGAGGTGGTGCCTGATGCCCCCGGCCTGCCCGCGGCAGCTGCGGCGGCGGGCATGGCCGCGGCGGCCGCAGCCATGCGCTCGGCATTTGCGGCGCAGGGACAAGGGGCCGGCGTGGCGGGCCAGGGGTATGGCTGGCGGCTCGGCGCCCAGGCGGCGCCCGCCCCTTGGCAGGCCGCCCCTGGCG